GAACAAAGATTTGAACTCTCTTTTGAGTGATTTTGGTTGGGTAGTGCAGAGGGTCACAGATAGCCACATAACGGTCAACTGATATGAGAACCATGTTTACTACTGAAGCACAGACAGTGATAAAGGGTAAGAAATGATACAGAACACACATAAGGTCACCCAGGAACCAGCAGGGTTCTGTTAAGAGGATTTGAAATGGCATCACAAAGAGGCCGACGAGGAAGTCAGCGACAGCCAGAGAGAGGAGGAGGAGGTTGGTGGGAGTGTGGAGCTGCCTGCAGTGAGAGAATATCATCACTGTCAATATTACAAAATGCAACATCATTATTACCAATAGGAAAAGTAATGACAGTTTAAATAGCATATCTAAACAGTAAATATAGTAAGCATTGCTCATGAATAAAAAGCAGGATGTAAAGCAAGAGTTCACTTATTTCTATGAATCTCACTACAACAACATATGATCAATGCTAAGACATTTATCTCTGCCTGAAGTGGGAGATGGCAATGATGACCAGTAGGTTGAGAGATGCAGTCAGCAACGAAATGGAGGAAAACACAATGTAAATGATCATTGTCTCAGTGTGAGGACGTGTGTGCTTTTTGCAAGATGTGTTGAGGAGTTGTGGAAAGCAGAGTTCATCTTCTTTCAGGGTCTGCATTGTGAGAGAGAGAGAGAGAGGAGGAGGAGAGGAGAGGGGACTTAAATGAACAGCTTTCTGAGCAAAGTTCTGTGTGATACAGTTCATTTATTTTTCTCACCATTCACCTTCCCCCTCCACAGTTTTTCACTTTCTCTTGGATAATGATATAACCCAAAGTATGGAAATGGTTGATGAAATAAAGCCCTGAAATTGGATGTTAGTTGATAAGTTTCAGAAATGTCAAATCAGTGTGAGATTACCCCCACAGCTGGGCTCATCCCACTTTTGATGGTTCCTTGTGGGTCACAGGGTGTTAAGGTCAGACAGGTATAGGTGGACCCAGTAAGCAGACTCGGACACAGTAGTGGAAAAATAGTTTATTAATAAAATAAGAAACCAGTACCAGGTGGAGGAGAAAGGAGAACAGAGGCAGAGCAGGTTCTGGATGGGACAGGCAGGTAGAGGGGAACTGGAGATAAAGACAGTTAGGAAGCATGGAGCTGGGGGACCAAGGGCAGGTAGAACTTGTGGAGCTGGGGATGAAGGCGAGCTGGCAGCATGGAGTCAATAGGAAAGCAGGTAGAAGACATTGTGGCCGGCTCACCCACACCAGAGAACTGGATAGCAGGTTGGCATGCAGGGAAGTCATCTG